GGATAAAAGCAGATGTTTGCGGATAAAAGCATATGTTTACGGATAAAATCAGATGTTTGCGGATAAAAGCAGATGTTTGCAGATTAAAATAGATGTTTGCGGATAAAAGCAGATGTTTGGAGATTAAAACAGATGATTACGGATAAAATCAGATGTTTGCGGATAAAAGCAGATATTTGCAGATAAAAGCAGATGTTTGCGGATAAAAGCATATGTTTGCGGATAAAATCAGATGTTTGCGGATAAAAGCAGATGTTTGCAGATTAAAATAGATATTTGCGGATAAAAGCAGATGTTTGGAGATTAAAACAGATGTTTGCGGATAAAAGCAGATGTTTGCGGATAGAATCAGATGTTTGCGGATTAAAACAGATGTTTGCGGATTAAAGGAGGCGTTCGCGGATAAATGCAGATGTTTGTGGATAAAAGCAGAAGTTTGTGGATTATAGCAGACGTTCACAGATAAAAGCAGATCTTCGCGGATAAAAGCAGATGTTTGCAGGTGAAATCGGATAAATCAGACTTTTGCGGGCTAAATTAGATGTTTGCGAATTAAAACAGATGTTTGTGGATTAAAGCAGATGTTTAAAGATAAAAGCAGATCTTTGCGGATATAAGCAGATGTTTGCAGGTAAAATCGGATGAAGCAGACTTTTGCGGACTAAATTAGATGTTTGCGGGTGAAATCAGATGTTTGTGGATTAAAATAGATGTTCGCGGATGAAAGTAGATCTTCACATATAAAAGCAGATGTTTGCAGGTGAAATCGGATAAAGCAGACGTTTGCGGATTAAAGTAGATGTTTGCGGATAAAATCAGATAAAACAGGGTGAATGCAGATATAAACCCAAATACAGGTATTTGCGGATGAAACCAGATGAAAGCAGACATAGAACTAAATAGATAAAACCCGACGTTCGCGGATAATATTTATACCCGCAATTGCAGATAAAAACCGACATGCCGGTTAATAAATGGACATAAAACTAGCTTTTTTATCCGCAATCATCCAGTATTACCCGTCTTTTTCAGCAGGGTTAAAAGTATATTATTATTTACTAATAAGGTTAAAAATTCATTAATTAAATAAAAATAATGTTTTAAATTAATACAAATTGTTAATAAAATAGTTAAAATGAAAATGAAAATCACTATTTAAATGAAGTTTTGATGAACTTGTTTATTCTTTATGGACAATATGGAAAACTTATTGCTAGAACATGCAGAAACTTGTTGTATGTTGTACCTTTAATTTGGATATCCATTAATTAAGAATAAATATTGTTATCAACTTCTTTTGAGTAGTAAGTTTTGTTATTTATACCAAATTAATATATTAATTTGGTATACACATGAGCAACATTTTATTAGTTTTTCTTCATATTATTAGGGTAATTGTAAAATATCTTTCTTAATATTAACTTTAGGTATCGGGAATAGTTCAATCAATCAATGAAGAGGTATTATAATTTCATATTTAATTATGTAAAAATATACAGGGCGTTCCATTGAGAATAAAAAAGTTATTGCTATTTTAAGTTAGCTACAATCACATTGTTTTTTATGAAGTATCTTTTTAGAAATATTACAATATATAACATGGAATATTTAAAACAATGCTTCAGGATTCCAATAAATCCAACCGAATATCAGAAACCTAATATTAAAAAAGTTATAAGCTTTTTTATTGAGGGTGAAACTGACCGAATTATAGCCATTTTATAAGGAATGATAATGTAAAAAAAATGTGATGATTTAAAATAACAAATTTGATATCGCTTCTGTTAAAACCTGAAGAGTAATTTTGTTTAAAATTATTTAGAAAAATAGTTTAAATGATATTATAATTGCTTTAAAAATTTCAATTCGATATCTTTTGCCGTTCTCCATAAACGTCTAACCTACCATCGAACGTGATACACCTTGTATATATATATATATATATATATATATATATATATATATATATATACGTATAATATATATTTAATGGTCTTACAAAATCATTTTTAAATCACAAGTACTTGATAGTAGGTATAGTATAGCAGAGTTATTGATAATAAAGTACGCATCGCAATGGGAAGGGTCGCGTCGGGAGCGTGCTCGAGCGCCAGGGCCAGAAAAGTCGCGCCGGCTCACAAAATCAAATGTCGTTAATCGTTTAATTAAGAATCCAATTTTTTTTTTACTTCTTCATTGGAAAGACTTTAAGGTAAATATAAATTAACACGATTTTCAAAAAGAGCATTGAGAAAATTATAAAAATGCAAATTGTTTATTATAAATATTTTTTAAGTTTTAAAGAATTTTCAAGGTAAAATTTTATTAAAAGGCTTTATTTCCATGAGAGATTTTCGAAAAAAAATCGTCAAAACCGCTCTTTTTTAAATAACTTTTATAATTGTTTATATATATTTTTTTAATTTGGGAATATTTTACTATCAATGAGTACTACAAAAACCAATAATTGTTTTTTGTATTTTCCAAAGTCGGGAAAACAGTGATCCGTTTCACGAATTCTCACCCTATTAAAACACCTTAAATGTCAATTTATATAATTACTTACCTAAAAAAAAAATAAAGGAACTAACATCCAAACGCTTTAAATCAACAATAAAAAATATATTATTAAAAACATGTTTTTATTCAACTGATCTGATTCATCTTAGCTCTACTTTTTAAAAACCTTTAGTTTTTTAAACAGTGGTGTCTTTGTTTAATTATACAACTTTTTATATGTACTTTGAATTTCTTTGTATAGCTGACCAATACATTTCTATTATTATTATTATTATTATTATTTTTAATGGGCCTAATAAATAAGTGTGGCGTGTGGATGTCGTTCATGTTGTGTAAGACATTAATTTATTCAGTAAATAAGTTTGTTGTCGTTCATTTTCTTATTTAATTTGGTAAATTTTTCCCCTGGGTAAAATTTATTATTGGCGTTTAAAAATGCTGTTTTGTAGTTTGTTTACAATATTACGTCGGAAAATTTCCGGCGTGCAAATACTCTTTCCTGGCGTGCAGTTATATATTTCCCAAATACAAACTAAAAACCAGGAGCAACGCCAGTTAATACTTCCAACTGTAAGTAATTATCGAAAAAAAATATATGAATGTAACCAAAGAAACAATTGTTAACATTTTAAATGAAATTAATAAGAATTAATCAAAATTTATGCTTTAACGTGGTTGTATTTATGTTATTAATAAAGGTCGTAAAACTTGTTTACATTTAATTTTTGGGCGGCACCATTTTCCATCAACTTAATGACCCTAATTTCTGCAGAATTTATTTTTTAACATAAAAAACAGGGATAAGACCTACAGCCAAAAAAGCCAAATGTCGCAAAATTAGGGCCACCCTAATATATATACTTATATACTATAGTGTAGCCGTAGCTACAATGGTTCCGTGGGTTCGGTGGAACCAGGCCCGCGAGCTCAAGGGGCCCGCGGCCAGCGATTGGAAAAACAATAGTATATTACACTACAAGGGCAGAAAGTGTGAGATTCCTGCACTGCGCGCCATGATGCCCGAGGCGAAGCCGAGGGCATCATGGCGCGCAGTTCAGGACTCTCACACTTTCTGCCCGTGTAGTGTATACTATTTTTCTTGCTACCCCGCAGAAAATACGGGAAAAAATTAAATGTATATAAAAAAACTTGTGTCAAAATTAAAATCTGACGTTTAATTTAATTCTGACGTTTACATTCAAAATCAATCAAACTGTAGCGTTGTCCTGGTAATTCAGCGGTGCCAATACACTAAAAATAAAAGGTTGTATTTTAATTAACAAATTACTACTTTATAACAAATAAAAGTACCACTAAACACTGAAAACAACATAAAAAGTAAAAAAGTAAAAACATAAATTGTTTATTTGTTGTTATAATTGCAAAATTATGGTTTAAAACTGTCATATTTTTGTGTTTCTCATGTTGGCAGTACGAAATTTGAATGTTGAGCACGCGACTAAAAAATTTTTACTCCCGCTATTAGAGTGTGCGCGTATAGCTTGACCAATGCAAGAAACGTAAACTTTCTGCCGTGAAATCGGGGACGAAACAACGTATTTTGAGTCGAGGTAGTAAGAAAAATTTTTTTTTTTCAAATATTTGGATTATTTTTTTAAATATATTTCAACATTTAAAGGGCATTTATTTATAATAATGGCTTGGTAAATAGTAAAAGACCACCAATAATAATAATAATAATAATAATAATAATAATAATAATAATAATAATAATAATAATAATAATAATAATAATAATAATAATAATAATAATAATAATAATGTTTGCTTGAATCATGTAAAGGCGAGTCAAAATTAAATCTTAATAAACTATCAACAACCCGTTGGTCTTCACGCAATGATGCAATAAAGCCCTAAGTTTTGGGTATCTTGATGTTCTTAAAAATTATTTTAACATCTAATAATAAGGCTGAAATAGACGACTCGAAAGGATTTAGAAGTAGGTACATTGGAGGACTTTGAAACAGAGTTTTTGATTATTTTACAATCTAACATTTTAAATCTCATAGACACAGTATCAAAACTCTTACAAAATCAGCAGCAAGATATCCAAAAATCTAGTTAACTTTTAAAAAATGTGTTAAATGACATAAGCAAACTTCGGAATGAATTTTTAGATATAAAAAAGAGGCCGATATTACATCAAGTAAATGGGGTATAATTCCAGAATTTTGCCAAACACGTGTTCGCAAACGTTTTTTTGATGAAGTTGCAAATGACTTTGTTTTTTAAACTGCTGAAGATACTTTTAGAGTTGAAGTTTTTTTTAAGACCCTAGATATTATATCAGACAGTTACAAAGTAAAACAATTAGTTTACATCAAATAGCCACTAACTTCAGTATTTTGGAAAGAGAAGTTCTGTTAAATTCTACTGATACAGAAGTATACCAAATGGCGGAAACATTCGTGAAATATATGAAGATGATATTTTAGACTTCCCTATCAATTAATAGCTTTTCAAAAATGTTTTTCTGACGATCTAAAAAATATTAAGTCAGTAAAGAATTTGCTAAAAATTTTTATGGTTGACAATTACTCATCCAGTAGCAGCTTTACCGAAATAACACTATGTTTTCTATACCTTACAATTCCTGTGACGGTTGCATCGGCAGAACGATCGTTCTCAAAACTTAAGTTAATAAAAACGTTTTTAAGGAACTCCATGAGTCTATATCGATTATCGTCTTTGGCAATGATCTTCATTAAAAATACAGTTGCCCGCTCCATAGATTTTCAAGGAATTATTACAAAATTTTCCGGTGCTAAATCAAGGAAAGTAGCTTTTTAATGGACACACCTTTATTTTTTATGCCCTTATATTTTGTTTATAATATATTATTATAAATAGTTTTATTAGTTTTAGTTTATTTTTCCTGTGTATATATATATATATATCTTATATAATAAAAGTTTATAGACAATATATAGTCTTTTATTTTTTCTTCACTATTAAAGTAGATTTAAGGTTGTTGTGTTTCTCCCAAATATAACATAAAAAATATTAATTAGTACAAAATAAAAAAAACACCTAGAGGCCCGTGGGTATAGCCTGGAACCCGGGCCCGTAGGGTTGTTGCTACGGCGCTGAGTAGAAATGTTATATGTTTAATAAATTTGGAATAACTAAAAAAATTTTGTATTCCCCAACTCTAAGAGGCGATCTGCCAACTACTATGGGCTAACAATACGACCATAAATTAAATTTAAAAAAAGATGGTTCATTGTACATACATGTTTTTCTAGATGTTTAAATTTAACCCAAGCTATCCTTAATACTACTTAGATTTGTGCTTTTTGCCTACTTACCTAAAAGTATCTAAAATCATCGTGAATAATACAAATTTGCCCAGCAAAGGTACCACCAGCGACGTGGGTGGAATAATCTCGGCTAGCAAGAGGAAGAACACAGTGAGCGACAGCAGAATGGAGATTGATAAACTCACCTATAATGTTTTAAACATCAAATTACATTCTTACATCGCATATAACATTAGTAAAATGCTTGACGATAGCCAAGTTCTAATTTATTTTTATATTTTTAAAACAAATTATTTGATTCATGTGGACTAAATTTATTTAAAAATGTATAGATATTTATTGTGTTGCAAAAACATGACTTATTTTGTGTAAAATAAAGAATTTTAGTTCCTTGACTATTTAAAAGCAAATTTTTATATATGCTAGTGTTTTTTAACGCTTAGTTTGTATGAAGCAAAATAATTTATTTAGCATCATTTTGTGTGTTATTTTTGGTTATTTTTTGCTCCCAATAAGACCAAACTATTTCATAAATTAAATTAAAACCACACTATTATATTTTTTGCATACATTAAATATAACGTTCTTACTTTTTCACCGCTGTCAGAGGGCAGGTAGAACACAAGTACGGTGAGGAAGGAAATTCCCATGCACGGTATGATGAGATTGACCGTGTAAAAGAGCGTTTTTCGTCTCATTGTAATGTTGAATGTTATATCGAGGTATGGTTCGTCACAGCACGTGTAGAACTTTTCATTCCTTAAATTAATAATGATATCTTAATATTCTGATAAATAAACTAAATATATTCAATGAAAAGGAAGGATTTTGGATTATGAGAAATTTGAATTGTGTTAAATACAGATTAATAAAAACTAATCTATGTACGTAGGGGTGAAAAACTGATGCGGGCAATGGAATGTGGTATATTTATCATGTGCACCTAATAGCAGGAACTTCTAAAATATCCCATTCCACAGACGTGTAGAATTCTGTCAGGTCGATTCCAATCTCAACGGTGTTTGCTCCTTTTATCTCGTCTAAATGACGCAAATCAACCTGAAACATATTTAACTTAAATACAGTTCACTCGGAACTACATCCACTACCGAATAGTAACATTTTCTTAAACATGTTTATTTGTTTTTTTATTTATTTGTATATATAAAATATAAACAATATATAATATAAAGGTTTAAAAAAATACCAATTTCTTAACAAACTTAAAACAAATTTAAAAATATGAAGAAAATTAAACAATAAGTTTTAAAGCCTATGTTCTAAAAATACCCTTTTGCACGACCTAAAGATAACTATTTAAAGAAATCTACAGCAAATCTTTGAGGAGCGCATATAAATAAGAGCCATAGATTGTATCAAAAAAGGTGGACATCAATTAAATAACTTACGTGTACATATAAAATTATGCGTACACATAAAATTAATTAAAATTAATTTTATGTGTCCATAAATAGAACGTCGTTTTACTTTTTAATTGTATAAGAAATATTAAGTTAAATATTAATGTGTTACAAAAATATTGCACACAGAAAAATTACTTTAAATAAATAATTCAGCATCTTCTATAAATATTTAAAAAAACTTCTTTGACATGTATAATTATTTTTGTTTTATTTTATTAAAAAATAGCATCAACCATATAGGTTATTAGCTATGGTACAGTTTGATGTAAATTATATTTTAGAGTGAAGGTTACAATCTTTTATAATATTAAGTATGATTTTGGGATTGCCTCTCAGGCTGTTATGTGTAAGTCCATGGAGTTTACGTTGAGCCTCGAATGACAGGCACTCGTGTAGGATATGGGTGATGGAGAGTGGGCTGTCAAATGTAATGCATATTGGTGGCGGTTGTTTGTCCATTAAGTATATATATATATGTGATTGTCTAGTGTGGCCAATTCTTAAACGTGCTATTATTACTTGGTCTCTGCGGTGGTCAGGTAGTGTCCAGGTTTTTGGTATAGATGGGAATAGTTGGTATAACTTGTTGGATCTGTTTGTTTCCCATTTTTGTTGCCAGCGGGTGTACATTAGTTGTTTGTTCAGAGGTTTCCTATCTGAAGAGGGAAGTAGGTCATCATCTAAGTTTTCTTGAATTGGGTTTTGTAGGGCTGAGATAGCAAGTGCGTCTGCTTTTTCATTTTCGGTGATGCCTACGTGTAATGGTACCCAAATAAAGTGTTCTTTGATCTTGGTTAAGTTAAGTGTTTTTAGGATGTTCTTTATATTGAGAAGCGTGGGGTGTTGTGGGTACATTTGTTTTAATGCATAGATAGAACTTAATGAGTCGGTGATGATGACTGTGTTAGAATTTACCATCGTAAGAGCTTTGAATATAACATAGATTTCAGCAGAAAAAATGTTACAGTTTTTGTTAAGAAGGTACGAATGGTATAACAAGTTTGAATAAATTGCTGCCGATGTGCCGTTTGCTTGTTTGGATGCATCAGTATATATGAAAACATGGTTTGTAAAATTCGATAGAATGGCTGAAAGTTCTGATTTTAGGGTTGCCGGTGTAGTACTAGTTTTTGGGTATCTAAGCAAAGAAAAATTGGTCTGTGGGAGGAGGATTGTCCAAGGTGTTATGTTTGAAATATTAATCGGATTTGTGTGAATAATTTAATCTAGATGATCGATTTTTGATAATCTGAGGGGGAACGTGGGGTGAAATATCTTGTGCTGTGGTTGGGTAAGTGGATGTATTGCTTTTGAGATGGCTTTAAAATTTGGACTGTTCTCTTCTAAGATAACGCGGGGGAAGGTTGGATATAACGCCTAAACTCTCTGAAGGAGAAGACTTGAAAAGTCCAAATGCTATTCGTATAGCAATTTTGAATACAATTTAGTTTATCGAATTTGGAATTAGTAGTGGAGGAATAAGCAATTAAACCATAATTAATTTTGAAGAGAATTAGGGATTTGTATAACCTGATTAGGATTGTGGGGTCTAATCCCCAACTAAAGTTTGCTAGGGTCTTTAGTATACTTAATTTTTGAAGACAGGAGTTTGAAGTTTGTTGATGTGGAGGTTCCAATTTAGTTTTTTGGTCTAGGATCATGCTCAGGAAAGTCATATTTTGGACCTTTTCCAGTTTGTTTCCATACAGGTAGAAGTCGTACTGAATATCATTTGTTTTAGTGGTTGAGAAATGAAAGCCTGTAGATGAAGACCATTGTTCTAGAGATTGAATGAGCCATTAAGTCTTTTCCTTATACTACGAAGATGCATAAAATTGTTAACAAAGTGTAGAAAGTGGCCATTAATATTCCATTTTTGTAATGTGTTAGTTTCCATGTAGAGTCATAAGCTTTGTTGATGTCAAAGAAAATTCCAATTAAGTGTTGATGATTTGTAAATGCTGTGTGGATATTTGATTGAAGGTGTATTATATTGTCTGTTGTACTTCTGTGCATTCTAAAACCACTTTGTTGTTTAATTATTAAGTTGTTTTGTTCAAGGTACCATGTTAGTCGGAAATTAAGTAATTTTTCTAAGATTTTTCCAGTCAGTTCGGCATTTCCCTGGTTTATGAATTGGAATGATGAAGGATTCTCTCCATATGTCTGGAGTGGGTGTGAAAAATTGAGTTATAAATGTCAAGAAGATGTTGTTTAGCAGTTAGAGGAAGGTGTTGCAGGAATAATATCGGGATGTCGTCAGGTCCAGGTGTGCATGATTTCGTTTTTTTAAGGGTATGATTAAGTTCTTCCATTGTTATTTTAGAGTTGAGTGGATTTAGTTGGTTATCGGGCATCTGAGGGGGTGTTACTTCCAAATGTTTTTTTAATTAAAAAAAAACTGGGTTATAGTTGGTATTGCTACTGAATTTTTGATAAGTTTTTGCTAATATATTGGCGTTATTTTCTATGCAAGTTATACGATTAAAGTGGTTTATACCCCTAATCTGGTTTATTTTTTTCTATACAGTTTGAGTTGGTGTAATTTTTGTTATTGTAGAGATGTAGTGGTTCCAGGAATCTTTTTTGCTTTTTTATAGTATATCTTGCTTGTGCTGTTAGTTTTTTGTAGATATTTAAATTTTCCATTGTATTGTGTCGTTTAAATTTGCTAGGCATTTTTTTATTGCTATGTGACACTCAGGGTTCCACTATGGGATGGGTTTATTTTTGTGATTGTTTATAGTAGTACCAATAACTTCGGTTACAATTAATTTAATTTTGTTGAGAAATGTGGAGAGCGTAAGGTTGATGTCCGCCTGGTGATCGAATTCGAATTGTTCATTTTCCAGCCTATTGTGAAAAGTTGACCAGTCTGCGTTCTTAAGTTTCCACTTTTTAAAAGGCTCCGTGTTTATATTTGTAAGTTTGATATTGTTTATGGCAATTGGAAAATGGTCGCTGTCGTAAAGGTGTGAAAGATTTTTTCAATTAAGGTCCGGTAAAATGGATATGTCACAAATGGTGAGGTCGATACATGAGAATTTTCCAGAGTAGTTAACTCTGGTGGCTAATCCTGTGTTTAAGATGGTAAGGTTAAAATTTTCTGATCTTGGTTGAGGAATTTGATTCAGTAAATTAGTTAGTTCGTGAACGTCAGGGGTTGTATTGGGTGGAATATAAATGTTGCAGATGTTAACCTTAATAGTATCCTTAATACTAATAGCCACAGCTTCAAGGGGAGTGTTTAGTAAAATTTTCTCAGTTTCTAAGGTGTTGCTTGCAAAACTCCGCCACTTGCTTTGAATGTATTTTGTCGGTTTTTGAAATAAGGATTTTTTTTTGAGTTTAGGAGTATGATCGTGTTTAAATTTATTTATAGAGTTTCTTAAATGCAAAGTATTAATGGTGAGGTATCTTTTATTAATGTTTGGATCATTTCTAGGTGGGTGTACCCGTTTACGTTCCACTGGATTATAGAAGTTATTGTTGTGAAGATTCTGAGTCTGAGTAAGTTTCGTCTATAGATTTACGGATAGAGTTTTTAAGTTTTGTTACACGAACTTTAATTTTACCATTTTCAAGGTGAGGGTAAATGTCATCGAGCATTTTTATTAGAGCAATGTGGTTGTCGGTGTATTCATTAATTGTGAGCGTGTTGTTTTTATTTTTATTCGTATTTTCCAGAAGATCGGCAAGCTGGTTGAAGTTTAAAATACTTGGAGGGTTGGCATTTTCGATAATGGTTTTGGCAGGGTTAAAGAGTTCAAATATAGCTTCTTTTTCATCGGTTTGAGTGTCGGTAAATTTTTTTGTTTCTTTTTTTTGTGTGTAGTAGAAGGTTTAATAAAGATGTCGTTTGTTGTTTTGATTTCAGGAGATGGGGTAGTTATACATTCGATATTCCGTTTTAATTTTGTTGTGTTAATTGTTAGATTTGTTTGGGTTAAAGATTCAGTATTTTGTTGGTTATTTGTAGTATTGTGATTATCTTTTGTGTTAATGTTGTTTTCAGGTTCATAATTAGTAGTGTGTTGTTCATTTAACAATAGTTGACAAAAAAATTCTGTATTCGGTATTTTTATAAGTTATAAGGATTGATTCTGGGATTGTCTCGTCTGTGGCAATGTAAATCTGCCGGCGGAAACTTAGTATGTGGTTATATTCAGGGCTAATGGCTAAGTTTGAGACATAGGTTTTAAACCCAGATTTTTAAGATATTGTTTGATTATAGTATGTGTTATTGAAGGGCATATATTGGACATTATAAGGCGTATGGATGGAGAGATTAATAGTCGAGCTTCAAGGATTTCTTCGTTAACAGTAATAGTTTTGTAATTATTCATGAAGTTTTCTACTACTTCATTGCTGCTGAGATAAATACATACTCGGTTGTTTGAGATTCTTGAGGAAAATATAATGTTTTTTTGTTGGATAATTGATCCCCGTGCAATTACATACTCTTGTAGTAAAATTGCCTGATATTTGGTTGGAAATTTAAATTGGGTAGTAGCAACAGTAGCATAAGATAGTGGTTGAGGATTTGTTTTAGTTTTGTCCATGATGATCGAAGTAGTAATTGTAATATTTTGGCATGACCTTAACCCGGCCCTGTTTCCGCGGTAGCCACACCGGAGCGTAAAAAAACGCTCGGTGTATTTAGGTTATTTATCTTTGTTATTGTTTAAGATTCTTAAATAACGTGTAAGAGCACTAACAAATTAATAAATAGGTGACTTGTTGTGTGCAGTTTCACTTGGTATGTTGTTGCATTGACACTTCGGTATTTTACTAAAGGATTATCAAAATTTTCGGTAAGCAATCAAAACATCTGTGAAAGTTTTGGGGTTCAGTACCGGACTCATGTATAATTATAATTAATATATTATTTTAAAGGTATTATTTTCCAGTGCAATTTATTTTTTATACAAGTATAAATATTTAATTTAATATTTATTATCCGATTAAAAAGCGACACGCCGTCCATACGTTACGAAGAGAGATATATTTATGAAACAAAACAGAGCGGAGGTTTTACTGTAAACATGTGGGCATGTGCCATTGATCCTGGCATAATTATATATGTGCAGGATCGGTTTAATAGCAATGTCTATGTGTTTCAGCAAGACAATTGCTCTGGTAAAGGCGGACAACAAGAAGACGGGTATCATCCCACGACATTTTTAACCGATTCGTAATGAAAAAGAGTTGAATAAACTCTTATTTTTGTGGACTTTTCTAATTATTTATAATGCTTGTAATACATTATTTATTTTACGTAAAGTGTGCTGAGAAAATAAATATTGGAAAATATAATCTTACCACATGTTGTGAAGTTAAACAGTACAGGTTAGCTTTCCTACGCCATAAGAGCAGAAAATGTAATGGACCTATGCGGACCAATGGTATCAACGTCAATAGGAGGTTCCAGATACTTTAAGATACTGATGGATGACTATTCAAAGTATGGGTTTGTTTACTTTTTAAAATCTAAGGACCAAGTACTGGATTGGTTTAAAGATTTTAAATATCTTGTAGAAAATCAGCAAGATAAAAAAAATAAAAAGGGTGGCGAACACTAATATGGATACCTACTTATCTTGGGAACAGTGGCATAATTTACCAAAGTACAAACCCATACACTCCAGAACAAAGTGGTGTGTCAGAAAGGTTATATCGAACTATAGTAGAAAGAGCAAAGTGTACTATTTGAGGCAAATATAAAAAAAAATAACGCCATTTACCTAAGAAATAGATAACCTACAGTTGGTTTGCCAGACAATAAAACATCATTTGAAATGGGACATTTTAGTAGGTTATAGTGAACATGTCAAGGGATATAGGGTTTATGGACCTAAAAAAGAAAAGGTGTAAGGAGCAGAGATGTGATTCTAATTGAAAAGTTAAAGAAACAGCTACAGCACAAATGGTTCCAGAAGAAGTCCTAGTTTCAGTGGGGTATGAATCTTAACCCCAAGCCGATCTAATTCCTCAGAGAAAATTATCCAGAAAGTGAAGAAAGTTTAAGAAACAGTTTTAAAAATACTGACAGAGACTGTGTGTTAGACGAAAAAGGAGAGGTAGAAGACAAAGAACTTAAACCAGAAGTCATTGAACTACTAAGAAGGTTACATAGAGTGCCACAACCTAAATCGTTTGTGGCATATATGTGCCCAACAGATTTACATCCAATTAAAGGAAACAATTATACAATATACAATAAGTTTATATGTACATAAAATAAAACAACATTTACACATTAATGATACTTTTGTAAAAGTAATCAGCTCCTTTTAATAATAAAGTTAGCGAAGAACTATTAATGTCAACTTTTGAAGATATTTCGTTAATATTTTTCATCATGACTTGGACTGGAGATTTCAACAAAACATTAGTACGGGCATTATCTGCCCTAAAAGTTAATTTAGTCCTTGAGTTTAAACGGGGAATATGCAGATTAAATATAGATAATAACAACATACAGTCTATATTATTATGAAACAAGTCATTTTATGCTAAACTTAACTCTACGAAATTAAAGTGAGTCCATTGAAAAGGCCCGAAGTAATTCAGCCTGAGGATGACTTCTGATAGGATAAAAACCATAACTTGTAAAGTTTTAAAAATTTCAGGAATCATCTTTGAATATTTTCCAATGAAACTTTGTAGGTTGTGTAAATTGGGTACCAAATCAAGCTGCAATTTTCGAGCCTTGAACGAACAAACAAATTTTTTAATGCGTTTATATCATTAAATGTGTCAGAATTCCATATAATAAATCCCAAAATTTTTAAGGAAGAACTAGTGATATTACTTATATGCCTATCAAAAGTTAATTTATAATCAAATAAAACACCCAGATCTTTGACAGTATCAGAACGTTCTATTAAAGAGTTATTAAACATATAATTAAATGTTAACGGATTATGGCCTTAGTAATATGACATAACTTTACACTTAGAGGCATTCATATACAATTTATTGGCATGGCACCATTGGTTAATTTTGTTTAGATTATTTTGAATTATACTACAGCTCTCAGCACCATCCACTCTAAGAAATATTTTTAAGTCATCTGCGAACATAAGTTTTTCAAAGTCAAGGTTGTGATTATATCATCATTAATAAAAATGAGAAAAAGCAGAGGGCCTAAATTTGAGCCTTGCGGGACTCCAGATTTACAAATAAATGGCAAAGAGTTAAACCCATTATAAGGGACAAATTGAGTTCTATTAGTGAGATAAGAAGCAAAGAACTGAGTTAATGAATTGTCAAAGCCAATAGTATTAAGTTTGCTCACAGTAAGCGAATGACTAATCCTTCGAGAAATCCGTGTACACCACATTAACTTAAGATCGCTGGAAACATATTGGGTAAAATAAACAAGAGTACAGGGCCATTTTGAACACCTTCGCAAAGGTAGACAGTATCGAGATGGGGCGATAGTTCGACATATTGGACGCATCACCGCCTTTAAGAACAGGACAGACACGAGCGATTTTTCAAATTTCTGGAAAAGTGGAATATTTAAGAGCTATATTAAAAATATATACCAGAGGTTGAGCCAATACGTGAGCACAATCCTTAACCAGGAAGCTTGGTATCTGGTCATGTCCGGAAGTCATCTTATCACCCAATCTCTTAACTGCCCTAATTACCTCAGCTTCAGTGAGACTGTTAATTACTGGAAAATTACAATTTATGTTAGAAGCTGAATAAGAATCAGTTGAATCATCGCTTGTAAAAACAGAAGAAAAATATGAGGAAAAGCCATTCACAATTGAAAGCGGAAAATCAAAGGTGTTTTCGCCAAAATGCATCTTTCCTGGTATTCTAGTTTGAGTACGTTTATTATTTATATACCTCCAAAAATTTTTAAAATCAGTTTTAACTTTGCCTTGTAATTCAGTTAAATAAGAATTGTAGGCTATTTTAATGTCAGCTTTAAATTTAGATCTAACTTGTTTAAAAGTATTGTTACATTTTTTGTATAATTTAAAATATTTATATTTTAACTTAATATTAGCTATAATATTGGGTGAATAGGAGTGTTACTTAAAAGAATATTTTTGATGTGTGTATGTAGGCACAAATATATCAAAAGTTGAATAAAGCTTGTCATAAAACATTTTACAGGCAATGTTGATATCAGAAGCATTATTTAAGAAGTTCCAATCAATTTGTTGTAGTGACTCATGTAATTAAGGAAAGTTGGCTTTGTTAAAATTATATTGCTTCGAATTCTATCTATTGTTAACAGGAAAATTATAATATTTTTCAAAATGCAAAAGTACATCAACTTCTAAAGCTGGGTGGTAACGATCTTCCTTAACAAATGGATTATTATTGTGTGACACCGTACAATCTACATTTCCCAACACTAAATCTAAAAGCTTAGAGTCACTGTTGAAAATATCATTATATTGAATAAGGTCACTAAAATTTAAAAAGTTATGTACATATTGTGATTTACTGTCAGTAACATCGTTAGAAGAGAAATTTGGAACATTGAAATCACCAAATATAATAATGTGTTTTATATCTACAATGAGGTGACCAAAAATGTCAAAAAACTGTT